ACCAGCGGTTGAATGACGACATGTGGTGAGATTTCTTCTTCTGCATCACAGGCCTCCTGCTGGACCTCATCCTGGTCGGTATACTTAAAGCGGTGGTGCGTCGACGTCGCCCATCTCATAACCAAATGGACATGTTTGCCACTTTCTCTGAGGACCGTTACTCCTTACCTTCGGGTCACGCCACCCGAGCCGCTATGTGTGGGCGGTTCCTGCTGGCTCACCTGGTGCTGGCTACGCCGCTGAGGGTCCTGGTCTTTCTCTGGGTGGGCCTGGTGGGGCTCAGCCGCGTGCTGCTGGGAAGACACCATGTTACTGATGTGCTGTTTGGGTTTTGGATGGGTTACTGCCAGTACAAGCTGGTGGAGATACTGTGGCTCTCTCCTCCAGCTCTGCAGGGGCTGCTGGGGCATTTAGCTGCATTTTAGAGACTGTATGAAGAAAAGAGGGAATGAAAAAGGTTTTTATTTAAAGGGCCTCTGCACATTTTTTCATTTTAATTTTATACTTTAACATTTTCTTGTTTTATGGAGGAGAATTCATGAAAGTTCTGCTTGTGATCTTTCCTTTCTTCTGAGTTTTTAGTTTCTTAAATGTCATTTTAATTTAAATGTCAAATGTTATTTTAATGGTAACCAGGCGGGACCTGGACTGAATCAGCTGAGGGGTCTTCTGATGTCCCAAAGGGAGAGCGTTTCTGATATGGAGCTCAGAGATTCTAGATCACATGCAGGTCTTTGTAGTTGGGCAGTCAGCTCCTCTTGGTTTCACCAATAGTCTTACATTCAAGCATCTTTGCACATCATTCCAATTAAATCTGCATTTTTAATTGCTATGTTATGGCTAATTTCAAGATAATCCTGGAGATGAAATGGGGAGAGACAACAAACTAACTCTCAATAATTACCACCTATAATTCAGAGGATCACTCAGCAGTGAATAAATAGCCACGCTTAGATGTCTGTTTATAAAATCTCATGATTAATAAAGTTCTAGCTTGTTTCCTTTAGTTCATGCAGAGGCACGCAAACATAAGTACCAGCTGTGAATTCTGATCCATAAACAGACTGAACAATAAAAACTCTGCATGTTTAGATGTTTTCTATTTGTGAATAAAGTTGCACATGGTGTCACTGCTGTGGTAATGTGTCAAAGTGACACTTGTCTCCGACATGTGGGTTAGGTGGACCATATAGTCAGTTATATGTTGGCAGGAGTTCACCAGTAATACTATCAGCCATATGGTGTCCTCCTGTCCATCAAAATGCTCATAGAACATTTCCTAATTAACCTTTTGTGTTTTATATTCTCACAATAATGTCAGCATCTGTAAATTGTTATTCTAAACACATTGAACTGCAGACAGTTTTGCAATGATTGGGTTTAGCTTTACTGAATC